TTTTAGATTTAAATCTGGAACATGTGAATAACATTACCATTTACATGTATACAGAATTTCATATTTTATAATTATGAAATGTTCAATTTACATGTCTGAGAGAGAGAGAGAGAGAGAGAGGAGAGATAACCTCTTAATCCCGATCCAGACCAAAACTTAGTTCTTTATCGGTCACACCCATTCTTTATTAGATGTTTTCTGATTTCATAGTCAGTCATGGTCACATCCTGTATATTTTTCAGCTTAAAAAGTATCACACGAAGTGCACGTGTGTTGACCTGTCAATCAAAATCACTTGACGCTGTATGCACTGCAATTAAGTAGCCTGAGTTCGAAATGATCTTGAAGTATGATCTTTAAGTAAATCTGCTGCAACAAACTTGTGAAAAAAAATAGAATAAAATAAAAAATAAAATATCTCGGTATTATGAACTTCGACTGTGGGACGTGGAGACCGGTCCTTTGGATGAGATCGTATAAATCGAGGTCCCTTGTCGCAGAAGATGCTGGCATAAAAAAGATTCCCCACTGCTCAATTGCGATAAATGCCAAAGTATAGGACAAAAATTTACAGTCTCCACCGGCGAGTGGTGGCGTCTCCATGTGAGTGAAAAATTCTGGAGAGGGACGTTAAACAACATACGTATAATCAATCAATCAATCAATCAATCAATCGATTGCTGAAGAATAAATGTAATTGAATAATTTGTCTTATAGGTATGTTGTCAAATCTTGATATTATAACTTTACAAAACTCAGTGACTTTACGTTTAATGTGATACTAACTTAATTCATTATATTTTTTTATAACACCATCACAATTATGCCAAAACATACACACAGTGAAGTTTATGATAGTACGGTGTTCGTTCGTCTGTTTGTTTGTCTTAGAAATGATTGCAAACATTTTTTTTTTAAATTGCTAATGATATACGTATATCTCTTATAGGTGCCAAATGTATTATACAAGATTGATAATGAAAATCAAAGTACCTTAAGTACTGAAAGGACTTTTTTCCAGTTATTTTTTTCTTTCACAGTAAATATGATATGTATGTTTTTTACACAGAAAAAAGCAAATTCTTACAGATTTAGAAGAACGGAAGACTTTTTTGTTGCCATGGCAACAAGAGTCTAGTTATTATTATTATTATTATTATTATTCCTCCCAAATTTTGTGAGCGCGATTACTCAGAGATGGTTGGATAGATTTTCACAATTTTTCACATGATAGTAGGCTGATATATGAAGTTTATATAAAATTCCGTTTTTTGAAAAATTCACTTCCGGTCCGAAGTTACGGCCGAATTTCCAATTTTTAAATGGACTTTTGTCCGGAATTTTTCTCGGAAACGGTTTGAGGTGAAGATGTGAAATTTATAGGGGTATTAGATCATGACATTCTCTTTGTTTCGAAGTTGTTTTCGTGTGTTTCCGGTACTTCCTGTCCGAACCGGAAGTGAACTTGTGTTTGGTCAATTTTCAACTTTTTTGTTTTTTAATATTTTTTCAAGATATTATTATGTATAACAGAGGTTATTCTACAAATACTAAATATATAATTTGTTTTGAAATCAGATTCCACATTTTGCAGATTTTCGGTACCCTCATTTTCCCTATTTACCTAGTGTGTAGACAATGGGCAAAGAAAGATAACTCTGACTTGTAAGTGAGAATAGAACTTTCGAGATAAAGGCGGAAATAGTATCGATGACGTCAGAGACATATACACTCTCCATATCAAAATATTTAGACGTTCTATATTCACTCTTCAAAATTTAAGAGTACGTTGGTTACCGCTTCCAGTGCATGTAAAGTTTGAAGGTGCCAGTGTAGTGTAAGTCTGTATTGACAGTTAATTGATTTACACATGAATATATCTAAAAAAAATTAATATATATGCTAGGTACCTAATTCAAGTAAATATATTATAAGCACTAAATATACATTTATAGTGATGAACAGGCATGCAGTTTTATCTATTTCGTATATTAAGTCCAGAATATGATAGTTATAAGCCTTCTATAATGCAGACGATTTATTATTCTCTATGATTTGAATGCGAAATTATCCCGATTTCCGAGTTTTACTTTCGATATTAAAAAATATTACATACACTCAAAAAAGGAATTAAGCGATAGAAAATTGTAATACAGTACTGTTTTAAAGCCTTTATAAATAAATTGATATCTGCCACTGAAAAGAAAGAAAATCAATCTATAGATTAGATTAGGTTATTACATGTATATTTGATAAAAGGTTAAATTATTTATGACACATGATCTATATTCTATATACCCAAGGAATTATAAAAGATGTGAAAAGGCGATTCTTGGATTCTTGTGAAATACTCAAAGAGTTAAAGAGTGTGTGAAATAATGGTACGCTATATGTTTTTTTTGAAAAAAAAACATGATAAAAAAATTGTACAGGTCTGTTGATATGTGGGATAAGTATATCTGAATGAACACAATTTTATGCAATGATATATAATCATGTACATGCAACTGACGTCCGTACTTTTCCTTATAATTCATAAAACATAAAATTATCTAATTCCTTTGAAGCCCCCCCCCCCCCCGTCTTGATTAATATTTGGAGACGTTCGTGCAGCTAGGCATTTGAATTATATATTCGTTTTAGATTTAAATCTGGAACATGTGAATAACATTACCGTTTACATGTATACAGAATTTCATATTCTATAGTTATGAAATGTTCAATTTACATGTGAGAGAGAGAGAGAGAGAGAGAGAGAGAGGAGAGATTCCTTCTTAATCCCGATCCAGACCAAAAATTAGTTCTATATCGGTCACACCCATTCTTTATTAGATGTTTTCTGATTTCATAGTCATGATCTCATCCTGTGTATTTTTCAGCTTAAAAAATATCACACGAAGTGCACGTGTGTTGACCTGTCAATCAAAATCACTTGACGCTGTATGCACTGCAATTAAGTAGCCTGAGTTCGAAATGATCTTGAAGTATGATCTTTAAGTAAATTTGATGCAATAAACTTGTGAAAGAATAGAATAAAATAAAAAATAAAATATCTCGGTATTATGAACTTCGATTGTGGGACGTGGAGACCGATCCTTTGGATGAGATCGTATAAATCGAGGTCCCTTGTCGCAGAAGGTGCTGGCATAAAAAAGATTCCTCACTGCTCAATTGCGATAAGTGCCAAAGTATAGGACAAAAATTTGCAGTCTCCACCGGCGAGTGGTGGCATCTCCATGTGAGTGAAAAATTCTGGAGAGAGACGTTAAACAACATACGTATAATCAATCAATCAATCGATTGCTGAAGAATTACTGTAATTGAATAATCTGTCTTATAGGTATGCTGTCAAATCTTGATATTATAACTTTACAAAACTCAGTGACTTTACGTTTAATGTGATACTAACTTAATTCATTATATTTTTTATAACACCATCACAATTATGCCGAAACATATACACAGTGAAGTTTATGATAGTACGGTGTTCGTTCGTCTGTTTGTTTGTCTTAGAAATGATTGCAAACAATTTTTCTTTAAAAATGCAAATGATAAACGTATATCTCTTATAGGTGCAAAATGTATTATACAAGATTGATAATGAAAATCAAAGTACCTTAAGTAATGAAAGGACTTTTTTCCAGTTATTTCTTTCTTTCACAGAAAATATGATATGTATGTTTTTTACACAGAAAAAAGCAAATTCTTACAGATTTAGAAGAACGGAAGACTTTTTTGTTGCCATGGCAACAAGAGTCTAGTTATTATTATTATTCTTTTTTTCTACTTTCTTCTCCGGTACTTTTTTGTCCGGGAGTGTTCTCATAGAACCACTCATCCGATTGACATGAAACCTTTTTAGGGTTAATAGGCATGTTGTGTAGGTGTTCGGAACGAAGGTCATTTTGCGCGCACATGCATGCACGTGCGCGCGCGTGCAATGAGTGAAATGACTGATATACTTGATGAAGCCGTAACTTTTATATTCCTTGATGAATTGCTTTGAAACTCAAAATATAAAGATATATTAGTAGTCTAGACAAGATAACACGGTCAAATTAGCGTGAACTCACACGCATGCACGTGCGCTCTTCTCTGATTGGCTGATACAAAAATCTCAATAATTTCCTTGTTTTTTGACAAAATACTTTGAAATTTAGAATATAAGTATATATTACAAGGTGCTACAACATGTTGTATAGGAAATTTCTTGAAAACACGCGCATGCAGGTGTGCTGCAATCTGATTGGTTGAAACTTTGAATGTCCATAACTCCCTTGGTTTTCAACAAAACAGGATGAAATTTACGACATGGATAGGCACATAGAGCTCCTACATTATGATGCTATCAAAATTGAATGCAAGGCCATGCATGCGCGTATGCTGTATTCTGATTGGCTAATACTTCAAGGGTTACATCTCTCTTATTTTTCAATGAAATTCTTTAATATTTAACACAAATGTATGTATTGTGACACACTATAAGAAAATTATTGTGAAAAATGTAGAAAACATGTGCAAGCACATGCGCTGAAATTTGATTGGCTAATACCCATATGGCTATATCGGAATAGTTTTCCAATGAAATACCCTTAAAAATAAAGTGTCCATCTATATTACAAAAATATTGTCTAATTTATTGAAGCTTGTAGGGAATGGGGCATCATAAGGGACTGGGGAGCCGTTTGGGGAACATCTGTAACGGTTCCCGTTACAATTAGCACTAGTTTTATATTGAAATTTGTTGGGTAGTCAATGCAAGGCAGTTATGCATATTCTGTTATTTAAAATTAATGTATACATACAAGGTTATGATAAATAACATATATGTATATTCTACATGTACTTAAATTAAACATATCTCAGTCCAACTTAATCGAGGAAATAAGTCATGTATACTAAATTTTAAATTTATTCCTAATTCCATCACGTTGTGATTGTTTTGAACAGTCGAAATTTTGGGGAATCCCCACCGTCTAATTTTAGCCATTATCGGTAGAAGTAGTTTCCCTTTATTGGAATATGGAGGACATAATATTTAAAGCTAAATTAAACCTTTAAATTATGATAAAATGAACGTGTATCGTGCTACAGAGAATTATGTATATAAAACAGATGAATGTCTTGGACGGGGCGCCACAGGAGATGTGTACAGGGGCGTCCACAAGGTACAGTACCTATTTAATTTCTGTCAAGTGTCTCTACTTTCATTTTCAGTAGTGTGAAATATGTACTGTGGTGTACCGTAAAATGCTTTGACAATACTGACAGAAAACTATAACATAAGTGACATTTATTTCCATTTTCGAAAATGATAGTCTCCATTTATGGCTATGCCAATGATGCAAATAATATATTTTTGATGATGAAGAAGGGGGGGTACATGTAGCTGCAAAACTGTAGCTCTCCGAAAAAAAATAATGACAGACCGGAGAGCTACAGTGCCACTTACAAAAAAACTGTATATCTATTGCGCACAAAAAGTTGCGCTCGGTTCTAGATTTATTTCTCCAAATTCTTACCTCAACTGCACAAAAACTGACTATTTCAAGAATTTCCGTAGACCACTCAGTCATTCTACGATAAATGGACCAATTCAGAGTATGAAATATAAAAAAAATTGTTTCAAATAGCAAAATGAATATCATAATTCTCTTAAGGATATGTCAGTGAATTTGAAAACAAAGAATTGTCCACAAATCTGGTATCGTTAACTTATTACAACAATTTCAAGATACCATTGATTTTAAGGTAATGTTACGGAAGTTAATGCTTGATCAAGCCTTATTATTTTTTAAATAAAGCTGAATTTGACCAATTTTTCGTTTCTGATGTTCAGTAAAGAACGCTAAAGTATGATTCATGAATCCGAATTTAAATTAAATTTTCAAGAAAAATATCATTACGGAAGTTAATCATTACGGAAGTTAATTCCCAGCAATAAAAGTTAAAATTCTCTTCAATAGGTAAAATCAAAGTTTTTTTTAGGATATTAAACAAAAGTATGAAGCCTTTCGCTCCCAAAATAATAAAACAATTTATACCTTAAATGCAAAAACTTTCCTGAATTACCGTTACGAAAGTCAAATTTTTAAGAGAGACAACTGTTTTTGTCTAATTCATTTTGTTATGTCGAAAATGTAATCATCTAAAATAGCTGACTCGCAACTAGAATCGATGATATAAGGTTCCGTGGTCACTTTCAGATAAGTTTCAGTTCTTTTTGAAATCTGCATTCTATGCATGAAATTTAAAACAAAATCGTTACGGAAGTTAATCGATTTGAAGCGACATGCTTATGATTTCACATGAAAGGAGATCCATGCATTTCTTTGCGAGAAGTGGTTTGATTTCTTTTTATATAGGATAAAAGACATTTTTTTACATTCATTACAATCTATTTGGAATGATTTTACGGCTGAAAATTTCATCTTGAAATTTGTAAATAAATGAAGCGACATTAAGATTTGCAGTGGAATACGTTTTTCAACATTGTATTATGTTCATATCAAAACTTTAACTGCATATATATCTGTGAATATTTACTAAACCATGTGTGTATGTTAAGTCTTAGAGTTGAAATTGACCTTTAAATTTATAGTAAAAATATTACAACGGAAAATTTTTAAGCGACATAAAAAATTCTTAATTGGCCATGCTTTTGTAGAATGACTGCTCTGTCAATTACTCTTGAAGTTAACATCTAACGTTACCAGAATTGGGCCGTATTGTCTTGCCACCGAAAGTGGGTCTTGGTACTTGAAATATTAAATACCTTCACCAGGAGAATAGGAAAACTTAAAGCATTCTCTGTCATTACATCTTTTTCTCATGACACATACAGGGTCAGATTTAAAGGGCAACCATTCCTCCCCTTATAACTTGCCCAAAAATCCTTTATTATATATAAATTAGCATTTATTTATTGGAACAAAGTCAGCAGTAATTACATGTAGCTATACAACTTTCAGGTCAAATTTTCAAAAATCAATGAAAATTACAATGTGATATAGATTATTTATTCAGTTAATTCTGTATTATTTATATCACTTGACATTTAAATTTTATGCAGTTCCAATAAATGCTAATTAATATTTTTTGGGGGGAAATTCAACCATTTTTACAGTTTTGTTCCTTAATATCCAGTTGATGATAAAGTAGGGTAAGGGAGACAAAATTGTTTTCAATCCCTTTTGTGTAATATGATTATTCAATAAATTATTCTCCAACCAACCATGAAGGTTTAATCCTTTCTTTCTAGTTAACGATAACTTTGCATAGTTTTTACATTGTAGTACATAGTCATCAGCATCCGCTGAGTGTAGCACAGTCCACTCCTTCAAGATCAGTCAAAATCTAATAAACTTAGGAGTTTTGAGTAGAATATGTTTCCTGATTCTTGTTATATTCCTGTTTTTATGTTCACAGGTAACAGGTGAACAATGTGCCTTAAAACTGTGCGATCCACGCTTTACCCAGCAGCTACAGAGAGAAGTAGAGGCCATGCGTCAACTACAGCATCCCAACATCACAAAGTTCCATCAACTGGAGTATGATGTAAGGACAAAAAATAATACCAAAGATACAATTTATAGCACACCTGACTTCTTAAGGTGGCCTTTGCTATCTGTAATTAATTAATTATCTGTCACACCATGTGTTGTTGGAAAACTTTTGAATATAAATTTTCAGCTTTCTTTCTGAAATGTTAACTTAGAACCAGTTTTAGAATTTAATTAAACAAGATCTAAAAATTAAGAGGAACCAAAATTAACTGAGTTTAACTGAGTTTTACTAATTAATGATGCACAGGCACCTGATATTTATTTTTCTTTTAATGAAAAAAATTAAGGGCCTACCCCCTACCTAATTAGGTATGGGTACAGACATAACATTTATTTATGTCTGTGGTAGGGGGGCATATGTTTTTATAAGAATAAATAGTATTTTTATAGAATAATTTAAGTTTCAGGAAGCTGTTGTTTGTGACCTTGAAATCAGTGTTAACATTAAATAGTGAAGGAGAAGAGAGTTATTATGCATTTTGTTTCATGTTTCAACTTATTTAATTGAGATTCACTTATTGTATACATCGTGAAAAGTTTATGTTCACGATGTGTTTTTGCTTCATTCTAATATGACATCAAGTCAAAAGCTTTCACCTTCATTAATATTCTTTTAACTGACTCAATCATCAGAGCATTAGAAATGCAGATTACAAAACTGTTGCATTTTCATTTTCTCTAGCCCTCTGGTGAGTTGGGTTGGGACCAAAACCAACAAATTCATACAATCTTCAAAAACCTTATAATTAGGCAAACTGTAAACATGATTATAACGAGCAGTTCAATGTCTCTGAGAATGTGAATTTCATTGTCCCCACCCCACTGGGACCTGAAAGATGTGACCAAAATTCATGCAGTTTTCAAAAAAAAAAAAAAAGTTATGTAGTAAACAAATTGTTTTCATGATTTTTTGTTGGCCCTCTGTCAAAATTGTGAAATTCATGTGATTCAGATCCTTGGATAAGGTCAAGGCAAACTTTTTACATGATTAATTATTTACTTTAATAGTAATTAAAAATTCTTGATCCCAAGGGGTCATGGTTTTTTAGCTCACCTGAGCCGAAGGCTCAAGTGAGCTTTTCTGATCACATTTTGTCTGTACCCTAATGTAGATTTTCCAAAGGGTTTGGAAAAGTTTTGGAATTCCATGGAATTCCAAACATTTCCATACAAGAGTCTAAAAGTGTTTTTGGAAGTTTTTGGAATCTTTTGGAATTTGAATAACAAATTTGGACTTAGACATTTTGAGGCTTGGAAAGTTGTGGAAATCTATGGAAAAGCTGATAAAATGAGAAACTTAGACATTTTCTGCTCTGGAAAGCTGTGGAAAATAACTTAGAATTTTTTCTTAAACTGTCGGCTCATAGTACAATTACGTCGGGATCGATGTCGGGCTCGATGAACAATTAATTTAAACAACAGCCCGCCAAAATTCAACAATTCGGCTGCCATGTTGTGTTGTTGGACAGAAGGAAAGAGAGTGTCACGAAGAAGGGAACTGCTGTCATCATTAGCTTGGAATGGAATTTGTACTTTGACAAAAGATGCAGACATTTTAAGACCCGGTAGGTACAATGTACAGTATTTTATGTGTCCTTGAAGTTGAATGGATAATTGCTTCTGCTACTGTTCCTCAGTCTGGGCACCACACACATAGAATGCCCGACGGTGAAACCATTAGGGCGAGCGCAGTTTCATTTCTGTACTAATTATTGTACAAGTCAGTACAACTCTAAACATCGCTTATCAAAATATGTTTGAACAATGTGTGGATTTCAACCCGAATTTCCTCCCGTTCGTACATGCCTTAGACCTCGCTGTATATGCGAGTGGCACGTTGCCAATTGCGCCATCACAGTCCATGTTACATCGTACACACACATCATAACACTATTAATGTCTCCAACATGATGCAACATCTAAATTGGCAATTTTTACCATGTTTACGAGGCAGAAGAAACGTGGTAGACTAATAATGCTCAATATGATATAAAGTTGTGCACAGCTTAGTTGCGGTAGACCCAAGCCTCTATTTAGTTTCACAGACTACCACCAACAAAGGCATTTCAAGACTTCCTTACTTTCACACCTTTAGTGCTTGCACAGATAATTTAAATAAAACTCCCCCCCCCCCCCCCCCCCATGCAGTGATATTATGGAATTTTCTTCCGTGCTCAATGTTGGCAGCCTCTTTTTTTCTTATCATAATGTTTACAGTAATTAATAATTTTCTTCTTAAATTCTTTCCTAATTGTGGGCAACCAAGTTTTGCATTTGGACAAGTCAAAGTTTGAGATCACTTGCCCAAAGGGCAAGTGAATCTGAAAGTTAAATGTCTATCCCTGAAATATTAAAAATGACTATACTCTATGACATAAAATTATGCATGCATTATTTACAGGAATGCTCACAAAAAGGACAAGAGCTCAGAGCTGTATGGAAATTTACACAAAGGTCAGATTTTTTAATCATTTTCCTAATCAATAAAATCAAAAGAATTGAAATTATGTGTTTATCAATGTTAGCCAGTTATTATAAACATTAGACATCACTCTTTCAAATATTTTTTTAATTTCAATACTGAATTGTTGATGCATGGAAGTTACATGTATTTATAACAGTTTATTTAATATTTCCTTAATTTTTCAAAAAAAAATATGTACATGTATTTGCATGTTTGAAGCCAGTAGAACAAATGTATTCTATATATTCACTTTATGTTATTTGCTTTGTCTATATTTTTGTTACATTGTAAATATGCCAATATGCATTTAAAGCAACTACATATGCATATAAATTCGTCTTTTCCTCTTTTCAAGGGTCAGTTAACAGATTTTGCAAATATGGAGGATAATATATCAAAGGCAGCATAGGCGTCCAAACTCCTGTTCAGGGTGCTTTTAATCAGAAGCTTAAGAGACAAAAGACGACCCATTGACAAGGCAAAACTGAACGTTTTATATGGTATATAAATTATATTTACTAATGTGCATGTACTTTTTTTCATACCTTAACTTTATTTGCTGAATGTTTTTAAGAGTACATAGTTTATGTAATTTACAATGTTCTCTCTCATATTCAAGGTTAATTAACTTAGACACAATCATGTCTCTTTATTTATACACTTTAGTTCTAACCTTTTCTTTTTAGCTCACCTGAGCTCAAGGCTCAAGTGAGTTTTCTGATCAGTGTTTGGTGTTACATTTTTGACTTCTCAGAACCATAGGATCAACCAAACTTGTCACAAAACATCCCTGAGTGAAGGGGATTCAGGTTTGGCTTTCATACTTCATTAGGTGTTTCCGTGTGAGAAGGCCTTCCATTGGATATCAACAATTTGTAGATATCATACATCTTTATGGTAATCTTTTCTTTCAGAAATTGAGCAAGAAAAGTTTGAAGTGTGGGAATGATCAACATCAAACTTGCTGAGCTTTTGAAGCCGTCGTACCAAAAGTGAATCCATTCGTGACACCAATTATCTGACCACCCTCTAACAGAACCAGTGAGGAAGTGATTCTAGCCAACACTTCAGAAGTAGGATCTTGGGGCATGTTGGGGGAAAAAATAGCATGTGTTGATTTTATGGGATCTTCCAAATATAGTTGTGTAGTAGATATTTGTGTACTTAATACCTATGTTTGTCACTCTAGTCATTAACTTTGTATGGTAAATGTATATGGACCACTGGAAGATCATTGTAACTGTATACAAATGTTGCAAATATACCCTGTTAAGGCTTTAGTGACCTTTCCCAAGGTCATTTAATGAAGCAAAAGGTCATAATTAATGGGTTTTTTTTAAATCTATTTTGTTTTATTATCAAAAAAATGTCATATGTTTGAGATTAGGTACAAAGGATTTTCTTTAACCAAAAGTCATTTGTTTCTCATGCGGACTGTAATTTACTACATGTACATGCATGTATATTATAATAATTCTCATTAATTAAACCAAGGTGATCATCCAGTAATGATATTTTTCTGTGGATTTTTAACATTGTTTAAATAACCTTTGATGTAAAAATACTTTCAGTGATAATACTTTTTAAAATTTGTGCTTACATTATACATAGAAGTGTGTATGCAATATTTGTCCCCAAACATATTGTACAGCAAAAATAATTTTTTTATTTTGAAAATATAGACTTGATTTATGAAAAATTGTGATGTTATCATTTTTGTTGTAATTATTTGGCCCTTAAATTATTTTGATTATTCCAGTTTTTTGTATTTTCCTGGAATTCCTTGGATTTCCATGGAATTCCATAGATTTCCAAATATCCTGGAATTCCATGGATTTCCAGCTATTTCCGCAAATTTCTATTCCGGCATTGTTCCGCTCTTTTCCAGGCTAGATTTGAAATTCCATACCATTCCGAAAAAGTTCCGTCCCAATACTCTCGAGAATTCCTTGGAATTCCATGGAACACTTTTTCCATGGAATTCCACGGAATTTGTTATGGAATTCCACGGATCTTACGGAAAATCTACATTAGGGTAGTCCGTCTGTCCGTCCGTCTGTCCGTCTGTAAACTTTTCACATTTTTGACTTCTTCTCAAGAACCACTGGGCCAATTTCAACCAAACTTGCCACAAAGTATCCTTGGGTAAAGGAGATTCAAGTTTGTTCAAATGAAGAGCCACGCCTTCTTCCAAGGGGAGATAATTGAGAATTTGTGAAAAATTAATGGCATCATTAAAAAATCTTCTTCTCAAGAACCACTGTGCTTGAAAACATGAAACTTATGTGGAAGCATCCTCAGGTAGTGTAGATTCAAGTTTGTTCAAATCATGACCCCCGGGGGTAGGGTGGGGCCGCAATGGGCGATCAAAGTTTTACATAGGAAATATATAGGAAAAATCTTTAAAAATCTTCTTCTCAAGAACAGCAAAGCCATGATTGGTCATATTTATATGGTAGCGTCCTCAGGTAGTGTAGATTCAAGTTTGTTCAAATCATGACCCCCGGGGGTCGGGTGGGGCCACAATGGGCGATCAAAGTTTTACATAGGAATATATAGGAAAAATCTTTAAAAATCTTCTTCTCAAGAACAGCAAAGCCATAATTGGTCATATTTACATGGAAGCATCCTCAGGTAGTGTAGAATCAAGTTTGTTCAAATCATGACCCCCGGGGGTCGGGTTGGGCCGCAATGGGCGATCAAAGTTTTACATAGGAATATATAGGAAAAAATCTTTAAAAATCTTCTCAAGAACAGCAAAGCCATAATTGGTCATATTTACGTGGAAGCATCCTCAGGTAGTATAGATTCAAGTTTGTTCAAATCATGACCCCCGGGGGTAGGGTGGGCCGCAATGGGCGATCAAAGTTTTACATAGGAAATATACAGGAAAAATCTTTAAGAATCTTCTTCTCAAGAACAGCAAATCCATGATTGGTCATATTTATATGGTAGCATCCTCAGGTAGTGTAGATTCAAGTTTGTTCAAATCATGACCCCCGGGGGTCAGGTGGGGCCACAATGGGCGATCAAAGTTTTACATAGGAATATATGGGAAAATCTTCAAAAATCTTCTTCTCAAGAACAGCAAAGCCATGATTGGTCACATTTACATGGAAGCATCCTCAGATAGTGTACATTCAAATTTGTTCAAATCATGACCCCCGGGGGTCAGGTGGGTCCACAATGGGCGATCAAAGTTTTACATAGGAACACATAGTAAAAATCTTAAAAAAAACTATTTGTTAAGAACAGCAGAGCCATGATTGGTCATATTTATATGGTAGCATCCTCAGATAGTGTACATACAAATTTGTTCGAATCATGACCCCCGGGGGTCGGGTGGGGCCACAATGGCCGATCAAAGTTTTACATAGGAACACATAGTAAAAATCTTTAAAAAAAACTATTTGTTAAGAATAGCAAAGCCATGATTGGTCATATTTATATGGAAGCATTCTTAGATAGTGTACATTCAAGTTTGTTCAAACATGACCCCTGGGGGTCGGGTGGGGCCACAATGGGTGATCAAAGTTTTACATAGGAATACATAGGTTAAATCTTTAAAAATCTTCTACTCAAGAACAGCAAAGCCATGATTGGTCATATTTAAATGGAAGCATCCTCAGATAATGTAGATTCAAATTTGTTCAATTCATGACACCCCCCCCCCCCCCCCTCCCAACCACTTTTATATTTAAACTTTTCAACCTTTCAAGATTGAAGTGATTTCTGCTTTTTCCTAGCCATAGTGCTCAGGTGAGCGATGTGGCCCCTGGGCCTCTTGTTAGTCAAGGGAGGGACTAAGCTGGTGGTAAACTGAAAATTCAATTCTATGGTACAGTTGAAATTCAGTATCTTGAACACCGATATCTCGAATACCATGGATATGTCGATTCGGAAGTGATTTGGAAGTCCCAACCACTTATTCTTTAAGTATTTTATCCTCGATATCTCAAAGTTTTTTTCTTGGTCCCATCGAGTTCGAGATAATGAGGTTTGACTGTACATGTATCTTGGAAATCTTGTTCTTTACTTGTGGACATCAAGCAGGCAGACTGTTTCCATGTTCCCAATGAAAAGGTAGCCCTCTATAAATTTTGAAAATTGTGGCCCCTGGATTCAAGATTAAGGCTCAAGGGTTAGTCTAAGTTGATATATTTTAAAAATTGTTTAAATCTCTGAAAATCCTCTTTAATTTACTCATTTGTATCAGTAGGCATACTAATAAATATTTTACACTCTTTTACTTTATGGAATAGTTTAATACTAAAACATGTATGATTATAACTGTTTATTAATGACTTTTTCAACAGAAGGAGAATTCCAAACCTATCCTTGTTATGGAACTCTGTGAAAAGGGGAACCTCCTTGAGCTGCTCCGAGAGCCCAGTAACTCCTACGGTTTAGAGGAGGAGGAATTCCTCAGATTTTTTCGCCATTTGGGTTTGTTTTATTCTGCAAATTCTGAATAAGACTTCAGAATTTCCACATGTTAATTTTTTGTTTAAGCCTATCCTAGTAAATTGACCTTAAGTTATAATCAAATCAGAATTTCAGAAGTTTATCTTAATTATCCAAGAAGTGTAAGAAAAAATCACTCAGACAACTTTGTTGATTCAAAATATGAGATGAATAAAATATTCTCAGACACAATCTCTCTGTAAACCTGTAAAATAAATTGCAGTGTCTGGAATGAAACATCTTCGCCAGAATGGATTTTCCCACCGTGACATAAAACCAGGCAACATTCTAGTATATGTTGCAGACGATGGCAAGTACGTGTAATTTAATCATGATTTATAGACTCTTCAGGTATTTGTACAAAAGTCAACATTTTGTAAACAATATATTTGATAAAAGTATGACTGCTGATATTCTACTATGCTCAATTTTTTCTTGTTGCAGCCATGTCTATAAATTATCTGACTTTGGAACTGCCAAACCTTTGAAAGATGGAGATTTCTTCCAGTCTTTAGTAGGAACGGAAGAGTATTTAGTATGGAAAATTGAGACTTTATAAAAAAAAAAATATTGTTATATTTATGTATTGATTTACTAGAAAAAAATTCTGAATTATTTTTGCTAAATAAAGTTTAATGACACTTGGCGGTTTTTATCAAATTTTCAGCATCCTGACATTTTTAAAGCTGCCTTTATTGATCGTTATCGTCCACGAGAGTTTGACATCTCCGTTGATCTGTGGAGTTTGGGGGCCACCCTCTATCATGCTGCCACTGGGAAGGTCCCCTTCCAACCCTACCATGGGCGTGGGGACAAACACACCATGTAATTTTACCATAACATATACATGTTTAAAGGAATTTATTTATTATTTCTTGCATGTTTCACTAAGGATTTAAATACATGTACATTTGTAAGTTTTCTGAGCTTCCTGTGACAGTTTACATTACTGTACAGTAATTTTAGGTTTCAGATGATCTCTAAGAAGGACCCAGGTGTAATTGCCGGAGAGCAGACTACAGCCTCTGGGTCCATTATCTGGTCCAAGGAATTGCCAAAGACCTGCATGCTTTCAAAGTGAGCAACTCTAATATACTGTAAAAGTGGAATAAATCATGATGGTTTTAATTTACCTATGTTCGCTATCAATGAATTTTCTGCAAAAATTAAGCCATTGTGAATATCCTAAAATGTAACATTCATGTATCAAATATGTGTCATACACTGTAAAACCCTGTTTTCCTGTTCCATGATTAATTAAAAAAAAAACAAACCATCAAAATTCATAGGATTACTTGAGGCTAATAAGAAAAACTTGCATAAAGTTAGTAACTGGATAAGTTTGTTGTACTAAGTAATTGACCATAACTGTTTTTGTTTTCATTTTAGGAATTACTAATATTTAAATAAGTAACAATTCACCCCTGTGAAATATACCAACATCGAAAATTGTGAAATATTAAACACATGGAATTAATGATGTGTACAGTAATATAGGCCACTTTTACTCTATCTGCCCAAAAGTTATATATTTTATTAGTATATTAATAGACAAAACATTTCTTGAACCCTGGATAATGTTGTTTTGAATCCTTGATAGATACCTCAAGGATACATTGACAGAATACTTAGTTCGTCTTCTGGAGTGTCAGCCATACCGTATGTGGACGTTTGATGGCTTTTTTGTTGCTGCAGATGATCTCCTTCAGAAACATAAGCTACATCTGTTCTCTGTGGTGGATTCACAGCTCTATCATATCTACATGAACCCAGATCACAAGTACAAAGTTCTTTGTGATTTTTACATACATATACTGTTGAATTCAGTATTTCAAACATCTTGAATACCGTGGATATCTTGAGGTTATTTGAAAGTCCCAAGCACTTTTTCTTTAAGTATTTTACTCTCAATATCTCAAATTTCTGGATATCTTGAAATTTTTTCTCAGTCCTATCTAGTACGAGACAATGTTGTTTGACTGTAGTTTTATTACACTCCAAAAAATTATATTGAAATATTTTTCCTGAATTATTGCAGATTTGGCGACTTACAGAAATGCTGCCAGGAGCAGACGTTTACGCAAATCAAATCACCATATTTCATTCTTCACAATCATGGTCTGGGAGAGTCTGTCTCGGACGATGACACCGTGGTGTCTTATCCAGTGACATCAACAGACGATCCAATAATAGCTCTACCCCTACGAGAGGGCACTTCCCTCACTACAAAAACACCAACAGACTTCATAGTGTCTCTTGTTGATGGTAATTAATCTAAAATGTTGTAATAGCCAAATATATTTAGAGAAATAATTCAGTTATATTGTAATTTAATTTATAACTTTTGTTAGAAGATGTTTCAGTGAGTATATGCAGAAAAGTATATTGCTTAAATTTAAATATTTACATTTAAATATGTCTTTCCTTATAAAACATTAATTGAGCAAATCGTATTAAATTCTATGTATAAACAGGTTCGTCAGCTGACCATAAATTCATTGTTTAATCATAAAAGTTCAGCGTAATTTCATAGTTACGTTATAAGTGGTCGACATGTTCTACACGTTTTTATACCTTAAAGGTTTAAAAAAAAAAAAAATCATTTCATGGTTTTAAATCTATAATAACCAAATATTTGTTAAAAATCAGTCACAAATGTAAATATAAGTAATAAGGTATCATTTTAAAACTTTTATCAGGATGTAGGTACGAGGTGGTACGATCTACCATAAAGCGCTTTGGGCTCTATGGGATTTGATCACATGACCAACCCATCCCGATAAAAGTTTTAAAATGAGACCTCATTTCTTAAGTAAAGTAAGTCTTGTTTTCCTTAATCAGACGTTTCACGGAAACACATAAAACACAAACTTTCATCTCTCCAGAGCTAATTTATGGACTTAGATATTGAGGTTTAATATTTATAGAAATGAATCTGGATTTTGTGAGTGATGATTTGTCGATGCGAGATGAGGACTACCGTACAGCTCGTGCTATGTGTGTAACCACAGCTATGATTTTTAAAGCTGTTACACATGCGACGTCTGCTCATCAGCTGCTAAGTAGTACGTCACGGGACTGCAGGTATAAGATGTGTACTACTAATTATATGATTGTAACTAAGTCTGCATGTCTGTTAGCTTGGTATTTTGATGTAGTTGCATGTATGCAAAGCTTATACCAGAGTAGGTGATTCACCTTATTTTTTAAAAAGCTAAAAATGTATACATTTCTTTGTTCTGTAAAATTTAAGTGCTGCTTTCAAAGCTTTGCTAACATTTTCAAATATCTTGATTTACAACCACAGAGTTAAAAGTGGCTATGCGTTGTATATAGTGAGGCCACGCTCCTACTAGCTAGTGGGTTAAACTTTTAGCTCAGTCGGTAGAGCGTTGGATTTTAAATCTGAGGGTATAGGTTTGAGCCACAGTGTGGACATCCCTAGCTAATCGGTCATAATTTTAAATAAAAATAAAAAAACCTTTAAGTGTAGATTTAAAAATCTTGTCTGTTCTTATAGATATGAAGTACAGCAGAAGTACAAATCCCTGAGGAGCTGTGTGAGGACTTTAGAAGACCGATACATGGACATCAAACAGATCGTGGACACAGATCACAAGAAGTCAACAGCATTATTTACAACCATTACAGAGGATGGTGACGTCGCTGATGACAATTTTGAACAGGTATATATTCATAAAGTTTTTGTACATTAAACCAGCCTTCACGCTTAAATTAGTAGCAACTTTTGTAAACTGAGAAGTTCAAATTAGTTTCAAAAAACTGTACATGTATACCCCCATAAGAGTCAATTGAAATGTGCCCAACTGTATCAATTTTATTTTAAAAATCTGCATAAACAAAATATGGATTGGAAACAAATAATTGATATTTTTTAACCACATCTAAGTGATGTCCGTCACAAACTATTGGAATTTCCTGTCATTTTTAATAAAGAGGACAAAATGTACAATTATGTTTCAATTTTGACATAGTATAAGTGCACAACTTTGCTCAGGTAATACATTCATGTATTTCATTGGTAGTACTCTACACCTCAAAAGATCAAATCTGAGCAGACCTGCACTCGATATTTTCTAATCACTATATTCAGTTGGCGTAAAATTGTTAAATGCACTACAGTACTTTTCTCTCAAAATCATTGAAATTTTATTTGTACACTGTAATTATTTTCTTGTTGTCACGTCTACCTGGTGACTTCATACTGTAGAACTCTAAATTTTCATTTCACCTGACATATCCTTAAATAGTACAAATGAATGTAGCTTTTTAAATGCGTAATGCAAAAGACCCATAGAAAATGTCCTAAATATCACAGCTATGGATTCTTTGGAACGCTTGTTAATTTACGATTTACTACAAAGCAATTAGTTTCATCATGATTACGGCTTTCAGATAAGCAAGAAGCTAGATTCCTGTACATCTTTGCTGGAAGTGTGTAAAGAAAAACACAAGAAACTGGATGAGTTGACCAAAATTATGAATTCTATTACTCAGGAAAATATGTGAGTATGATTGCTTTTACTTATTACTTGAATATCTTTAGTAATTTACAACTGAAATATATTTTTAAAAATATTTCTCAGGTACTATTGAAATTCTTAAGCCTAAACAATTTGATGCATAAGCAATTCAGAACTATGTATATTTATTTGAGACTAAGAGAAACTTTTCTTCTGTGAACAGAAAGGCAATGGTTGAAAGAACGTCCAAGCAAATGATGGACATATTACTGAAGTTCTCTGAGTACCGTAAATTACCAAGACTTAATTACCATGACAAGAAACTCTACACATTTGACAAGTAAGGAGTAATTATTGTAAATGAAGATGTATAAATATTGAAAATTAAATTAATTTTAATAAATTCATATTTTTTATGTTATATGTTTAATATATCACAACTTACATTTATTAATATTTTTTAACCATTTGTTTTGGGCAGGACCTCCATAACCTTTCACTACCAGCGAGCTGTGTCTTACTTAAAGAAAGTACAGCATTCAATGGCTGCCACATTTACAACATTCAGAAGATGGCACAGGTTTCATATCATACCTCTAAATGATTTTTTTTATGAATATAGTATACCCCAGTACAATGTATTTGTTCAATGTATATACAGTGTATCCAGTATAGGACATACAAGTTACCATATAATGGGCTTTTTTAGTGGGGTGCTAACTTTGGCTTATTTTTAGCAGTTTGGTATTAGTCCGCTAAAATTTTAATCGCTAAATTTTCACCCACGAAACCTGCTATACAGTATTTTAGTTGACAGTTTTAAGATAAGCATTATTGAAAATCTCCAACATTTGCTGGCTCTCCTTACAAATTATACTAGTCTTGTTGAAATACAGTGACCTCTCTATACATTTTGATAGTGCCTATATAAAAGTGTTAGAAGAACATGAAGAAGTGGATGCTGCTACTGCAGACATTTCCAGACAATTCCAGGAAGTGGTTAGTGAGGTCAAGGTCAGTATTAAAGAAGGTTAGGTTACTACTGTAAGGTGTTTTTTTTTTCACTTAGTCAACTTTTAGATACATGTCTATCAGAGATTGTTGTATATATGTGTTCTGATTCACAATCCTTCAGCATTTAGATTCAGATTCAAGTTTGTTCAAATTATGACCCCTGGGTAGGGCTGGGTCACAAAAAGGGATCAAAGTTTAAAAAGGAATATACAGTGGCGCCGCGGTAATCCGGATGCCAATAATCCGGACGTTTCACCTTCCGGACGATATTTTCTGGGAACCGATTTTTTCCACGTTATTCTGTCTCATTAATCCGGAAATTCGCGTTCCGGATCCGGACGATCAATTTCTACTACAAAACGTAATATTTCATTGAAAAATGACTCGTTTATCCGGACGGTATTTTTCGAGGAACGACTTTTCACACCTTTCTTGCAGTAGTGATAATTATTGTAAAAACATTGTTCGTCACCATCCGCCAGGAGTCATTTTGAAGGTGGTTACCTGTGACCTCTACACAATAGCGTCTATAATTAGCGTGTGTTTACCTCAGATGAAACACACGTCTTTTATATTATAAAGCCCGAAGAATTTAGCTTATACCGTGCATTAATTAAATATAAATCCGTTCAGAATAGAATAAATTGCTAACGGTATATAAATTTATGACAATTTTGGAGAGTTGTAAGTAGAATTTTTTACTGAATAATAAATCATGAGATTTCGTTGTGGTATTGAGTTGCGTAAGTTTTATCAAAATACGATTTTCCAATTCTCAAAACGTACATTATTTGAAACGTTTTTTTTTCTTTTCAGACGATAACTTATTATGATACATAATTCAAGAAAATATCTTTCTATTTAATGCACTAAGAAATACGTAACTGGTGTTAGTTATAAATGCCGAGCACGTTTTTTCAAGGTATATAACTTAGAGTTTTAATTATAGAAAAAGTATTGATAATCCTGAATATGGCTTGTGTTTACGTTGAATGTTTGCAATACGTACACTGATTACAGTGTTTAGTTACTTACTTCCCTATGTAGTGAATATACGCGGTTAGTCATTTAAACATTCTCAATGGTGATAATGAACAGTTCTACTTAATATGAGCTTGAATAAATAAAAAAAAAATGTGCCGAAATAAAACAGTAGCAGATCAAATTTGGTCAGTCCATGTTACTACACGTCTAATAGAAGGTGAGTAAAGTTTCCTGTGTTAGAAAAGGAAGTCTCAACATAAAACTGCCTATTTATTTTTCATCGTGTAAATTACATTTTAATTTTTTTTCTTTTTTAAATATTAATTATTTCTTTTAAAACTATAAAAATAAAATTGATAAGTCAAGGTAAAATAAAGGTGTTTTCTTTGCCTTCACATTTGATATTACTATGTTCATATGTACATGCTTTGAGAGGGTACGTCTTTTAAGAAGTGATTCACTTATCCGGACGATTCATTTATCCGGACGATTTCGTTGGGGACGGAGGCGTCCGGATTAACGAGGCTCCACTGTATTGGAAATTGTCAATTACATAGGAATATATAGGAAATATCATTAGAAACGCTTCTTAAGAACAGCAAAGCCATGATCAGTGATGATATTTACATGTATATGGAATCATCCTCAGGTAGTGTAGATTGAATTTTGTTCAAATCTTAACCACTTGGGCAGAAATGGAAATCAAAGTTTAACATACGAATGTATAAGAGAAGTCTTTAAAGATCTTTTCCCCAGGAACAGCAAAGCCATGATTAGTCATATTTATATGACTAATGGCTATGGAAGCATCTGCAGGTAGATTCATATTTGTTCAAATCATGACCCCCAGAAGTAGGGTGGGGCCACAATGGGCAATCAGAGTTTTACATAGGAATACTAGGAAAATGATTAGTCATATTTCATATGAAAGCATCTTCAGGTAACAGAGATTGAAGTATATTCAAAACATGACCCCTTGGGGTAGGGTGGGGCCATAATTTTGATCAAAGTTTTACATAAGAATATATAGGAAAAAGAAATGTGCTGATGAAGAACAGAATGCCATAGTTACTCATGTGAGCGTTGTGGCCCATGGGCCTCTAGTTTTTTTATTTTGTTTTGCTTTTTAAATTTTTAACTTCTCCCTAGCTCTGATCTATTCAGTTTATTATCGAGTCTTATCTGTTTTGTCCAGGGACTAAAGGAACCTCCATCTCTTCCCTCCATACCTAAACCATCCATGAAACATAGACGTCTAGCAGAGCAAGTGAGGATAGGGTAATTATACATTTACATGTACTATTATTGTGCAAATTAATATAATTATTTTACATTCTTACCTGCAAAAAAAAAAAGAATAATAAGAATAAACTTAACCATAACAGTCATTTGGATGTCTACGCTATATTATAGTATCGTAGTATATTATAGTATCGCAGTATTATCTTTGAAATGAAACTTCTGTAAATTTCTTTCCAGTGTGTCTGACATTAGTAAGGACTTCAGTGAATCAAAGCAGATAGCCAAAGAATCTAGGGAACACATGGACAGGTTACTAACTTTATTTTCCCTTAGACTGAATGTAACAACTGATTACTGAATATGAAAGCTTCATTACACAGTGTAGATTCAAGTTTGTTCAAATCATGACCCCCCAGGGGGTAGGGTGGGGCCACAATGGGTGAACAAAGTTTAACATGAGAATACATAGGAAATATCTTTTAAAACCTTCTCCTCAAGAACAGCATATTAGGCCATGACCTCAGGGGTAGGACAGGGCCACAACAGATCAAACAATTACACAGGAATAACGAAAACTATATACCCTCGAATCTTCGATACATGGGCATAAAAAGAGAAAATTTATATAAATCTTTTATCAGTGTTTGAAATAACAGTGCGCCCGACCGCCCGAGACGCACAAATTTTGCAGCGGGTGAACAAATTTGCATGTATTGATGCCCAGCTGGACCTGTTAAAATTTTCGATAATCAAAATTCATATATGTGATAAATCTCTTTCATATCAGCTAATAGTTTTGGTAGCAAAGTGTAACAAGCCAAGAAGAAGAATTCATCAGTCTATAGATTCTGGTTTGAAGTTATGGCGACCTGGTTCCAGTCAAATAAATTCATAAAAGACAATTATTTTCTCGGGCGAGTAGATCTTTAGCAGGGCTGACAATTTTTACTAGCTGTCAGCCCTGCATGTCTGGCTAATTTTGCAGTGAGTTTCAAACACTGCTTTTATAGTCATGATTAGTCATATAAATATGGAAGTATCTTCACTTGGTATATATTCTATTTATTTTGTGAGCTTGCTCACAATACCTTTAGTTAACAATATTAAACTGATTTCCACTTTTCTCTTACCAAAGTGCTCAGGTGAGTGATGTGGCCCATGGGCCTCTAGTTTTCATATTTATATGGAAGCAGCTCAGGTAGTTAGATTCAAGTTTGTTCAAATCATGACCCCTGGGGTAGGGCAGGGCCACAATAAGGCAATCAACGTTTTACATAGAAATATATAGAAAAAAAGCTATTAAAAAATCTTTTGGAGAACAGCAAAGCCATTTTTAGGTCACCTGAGTCACACAGGTGACCTATTGCTATCCGTTCTCGTCCGTCGCCGTGTGTCGTGCATTAACATTTGAACATTTTTAGCTTCTTCTCTGAAACCGCTTAACCAATTTCAACCAAATTTAGCATATAGCATCTATGGGTGAAGGGGAACAAAAATTGTGAATTTCATGGTCCCTGCCCCCCTGGGGCCTGAGGGGTGGGGCTAAAACCACCAAAAATAATGCAATCTTTAAAAATCTTCTTCTTTACTCCTGGACATCAAGCAGTCAAACTGTTGGCATCATTGTAATAAGCATTGAGCCCTCTACCAAAATTTTGAAATTCATGGCCCCAGGGTCAGGGGTTCTGGCCCCAGGGTGGGGCTATATAGATCATATAGTGAAAGTGCATTATTTCTTTGAAAATCTTCTTCTCTGCTCCTGGGTATTAAATAAGGTAACTAAGTACATAGTTATGATGAGCAAGAGTGCCTCTTCCAAAATTGTGAAATTCATGGCCCCAGGGTCAGGGGTTCTGGTGTTAGGGCGGGGCTCTATTGATTATATAGTGAAAATGCATTAATTCTTTGAAAATCTTCTTCTCTGCTCCTGGGCATTAAATAAAGTAACTAAGTACATAGTTATGATGAGCAAGAGTGCCTCTTTCAAAATTGTGAATGTCATGGCCCAAGGGTCAGGGATTCTGGCCCCAGGGTGGGGCTATATAGATCATATAGTGAAAGTGCATTATTTCTTTGAAAATCTTCTTCTCTGCTCCTGGGTATCAAATAAGGTAACTAAGTACATAGTTATGATGAGCAAGAGTGCCTCTTTCAAAATTGTGAAATTCATGGCCCCAGGGTCAGGGGTTCTGGTGTTAGGGCGGGGCTCTATAGATAATATAGTGAAAAAGCATTAATTCTTTGAAAATCTTCTTCTCTGCCCCTGGGTATTAAGTAAAGTAACTAAGTACATAGTTATGATGAGCAAGAGTGCCTCTTCCAAAATTGTGAATGTCATGGCCCCAGGGTCAGGGGTTCTGGTGTTAGGGCGGGGTTCTATCAACTATCTAGTGAAAATGCATTAATTCCTTGAAAATCTTCTGTGCTCCTGGGTATTAAATTAAGTAACTAAGTACATAGTTATGGTGAGCAAGAGAGCCTCTTCCAACATTGTGAATTTCATGGCCCCAGGGTCAGGGGTTCTGGTGTTAGGGCGGGGCTCTATCAACTATGTAGTGAAAATGCATTAATTCTTTGAAAATCTTCTCCTCTGCTCCTGGGCATTAAGGTGATAAACTAAGTACATAGTTATGATGAGGAGGTGGGCCCCTTCCAAAATTGTGAAAGCCATGGCCCCTGGGTCAGGGGTTCTGGTGTTAGGGCAGGGCTCTATTGATTATATAGTGAAAATGCATTAATTCTTTGAAAATCTTCTTCTCTGCTCCTGGGTATTATTTAAACAAACTAAGTGCATGGTTATGATGCATAAGGATGCCTTTTCAAAAATTGTGAATTTCATGGCCCCAGGGTCAGGGGTTCTGGTCTCAGGGTGGGGCTCTATTGATTATATAGTGAAAATGCATTGATTCTATGAAAATCTTCTTCTTTGCTACTGGAGATTATTTAAACAGACTAAGTGCATGATTATGATAGGCAAGGATGCCTCTTCCAAAATTTTTAAATACATGGCCTCAGTTTTTGGGGTTCTTGGGGGGGGGGGGGAGGGGGGCTCTATTGATTATATAGTGAAAATGCATTAATTCTATTAATTAATCATTAACTAATCCTGTATGCTCCTTAGTGTTGAGCTGATAAATAAATTTCTTAGCTATGATGAAGATGGGAGCTTCGAACAGAATTTTTAAATCTTGTGGTCCTAGGGTCAGGGGTTCTGGCATAACGAGGAAGGGGGGGGGGGCTTTTGATAATATAGTGGAAAAGTGTTAATTCTTTGAAGTCCATAGTTATGATGATGAGGGTAACTCTTCCAAATTTGTAAATTTCTTGACCTTTGGTCTTGGGTTCTGGTGTTAGGGTAAGGCTTTGTTGAATCTGTAGTGAAAATGCATTGTACCTGTGAAATTCTTCTCTGCTTCTGGGCATATCGAAAGCAAACTGAGTAAAAGTTTAAATGATATAAGTAAGCGTATTTCTACCAGATTTTTGAACATCTGGACAATTTGTCTAAGCATTCTGGTCCTGGGCAGGGTTCTATTAATTTGTATTCTACTGAGAGAAGTTATTCCCCTTTTCATCTTTGATAATTAATCACTGTAAATAATGTTTTTGAAAGGTTAATAGAATAAGATAATTATGCAAGAATGTTTATTGTATAATTCAAAAAGTACTTTCTTAGTTTTAATAATCAGGTAGACCTGTAAGTAATAGATAAATAAAAACGAGACAAAAATAACTTATCTTATTAAAAGTTCTTCAAAGACCATAAGAGAGGTCAATGCTAGAGGTCTTAATATGGGTTTAAAAATAGTACAGAAGCACTAATAGTTTGTTAATAGTCTGCATGGTGATAATATTAAGTGGGGGACAGATTAGAACTTAAGTTATGAGTTGATACTGAATACTAGACTAATTATTTTGTTGATCCTGATCTTCCTACTTCTCTTGCTTTAGGGCAACAAAGCTTCATCCCTCAGTGTATTTAACTTCTATATTGTTGTATTATACTCAGGTGACCTTTAAGGACCTTGGGCCTCTTGTTAGTCATATTAATTAATGTGGAAGCATCCTCAGGTAGTGTAGATTTAAGTTTGTTCAAGTCTGAGAACCCCAGTGGTAGGATCGGGCTGAATATTTATATAAATTTGTAAGTTAAAAAAATTGTTTCTAGTTGTTTTCACTCAATCAAAAAGATACTAGTTGAAATTGTTAACACACACCTTTTAAAATGAGAAATCTTAAAATGGCATTTCTAAAAAAAAATCCAAAACTGTTCATAAGGACATATATCCAAAATATGTTGGGTTTTTTTTGTTGTTGAAAATTTTATCATATTATGAAAGCATATGAAATAAATCCCCAAAATACATAAGGCCTTTTCAGCTATGCTTATAAATTTCTCCCAAGGTTAAAATATTTCAGAAAAAATATCAAGACAAAAATTTGTTAAAGTCATATATGGTGTTTTTTTTTTATAAGTTCAGATAACCAAAATTTAAACTATCCTTCTATTTAATTCATGGCTTTATAAAAAGATAGGACTTTTCTGTAAATTACACAATTTAAATCAACCGCGTTTCAAAGATATCAAAAAATTAAAACAATAACTTATTTATTTACCGACTACACATTTGAATAAAAGACACATTTAAAGTCAATTTAATTATAGAAATGTGAGGTTATTCGAGTTCAAAATCAGTGAAAATTTTAACTCGAAAATAAATAACAATATATCATGCATATCTACACTCAATCTCGTATTATCATTTTTTAGCTCAGATACGGCATATATAGCTTTAAACAGATTGGATCTATATTGCATTATTTAATACAAATTTCAGCTGAAGTATTCGAAAATTTATTTAATTTCAGTATGAAGTCTTTGCTAGAGGACCTTGAGGAGTATGAGCTTTCCAGCTGAGCACTTGATCCATTGGACCTGTTTTGTTTGACTTGAGCCTAACTGAGCTAGTTGAGTTTTCAGACTTTTTTCAGACTTTTTACCTGACAATCTGTGATATGTACAATGTTTTAACAGAATGAATAATGAATCATTTTATTATTATATGCAGAATTGTTTTTTACATATTGAGGGATCAATATTTTTACATTCTGATTCAGTTATTTTTGCAATTATCAGTGTATTACATTGTACATACTTGTTTGTGGAATCAGTTTTTACAATTAGTATTCATTATTATCCTGACTTATGTGTGTCAACTGGAAGTCAAATTTTAGGGATCTGATCTGATTTGAGGGAACTGATCAGCATATTTTTTTTTAACTGTACAGCTGCATGTACAAGGGTTGTTAGAAAAGTTCGCGGACACATTGATTTATGGAAAATATATTGTGTACTTTGAAGAATGACGTATGTCTAATTAAATTCTTATCTTTTGTTTATTAGTATGTAAAAAATCAGGTCCATTTACTAAAATCTTGAAAAAATACAGTGATTTTTACTGTGTGGTCATAGGATTCACGGAGCAATTACTTAGCGTTTTATGATGCTAGGTGATGTAACAACCTGATTCCAGACCTGTTAAGCTTTTTCACAGTTCTAAATAATCTTTCATATTTATAGACATGTTATATTTTTTTCTAAAATGTCTTTTGTGGCGTGTGGGATATTAGCAACATCTTAAAAACAATGTCTACGAAGTTCATAGCATGATAGATCAGGTATGAGAAACAATGCAAAATCCATGGGCTTATCATGCTATAAGCAGGATATTGGGATATCGCAGGAGTTGATAAATCAAAAATGTCAATCCTACCATTCTTACAAAGTTACTAGCACTTGAACACTTTGGTACTAGAGGCAGTCCCCAACAGCATCTATAAACATTTTAGTCTCTTTCAGGCATTTTCCTGTCTGCACACATTTTTTTTAATTGTTCAGTGCTCCAAGACGTTCAATGACGTTACCATTCTTGGCTTTGTTTTTACGCATTGATCATCTATAATTAGAGACAAAACATTCATATCTCCTCCAATATTTAATTCAGAATTTCTCCAAATGATGTTTCATCAATATTTTAGAGACAGGTGAAATGTCATAGATCTTTATGAGCTACAACAGTGCAATTTTTAATTTCAAAAATATGTCTCTGTAATGTAAAGGTGCAAAAAGTAACATGCTCCATGAAGCATGTTTTATCTAAATAATTTAGCTGTATATTTTTTAAACATCATCAGAAAACACCAAATCTTGGCATATTAATTGGAAAATACATATAGTTTTGATCTGCAGAGTTTCACTGATTTCATACAAATAGTGAACTCAGAATAGAACTTGTCCACGAACTTTTCTAACAACCCTCATACATGTTAACTGTATCATTTTTTTGTTCACAGATAAAGTACCTAAACTCTTAAACATCCACATATTTGAAAAGAAATTAGGTTTCTTATTTTTTGGGTAATACAGTTGAACTTAGGTACCTTGGACATGGATATCTCAAATACCCTGGATATGTCGAAGTGATTGGGAAGTCCTTACTACATATTTCTTAAGTATTTTACCCTCGATATCTTGAACCCTCGGATATCTCGAAGTTTTTTCTCAGTCCCATCGAGTTCAAGATAACAAGGTTTGACTGTATTTTAGTTGTGGATCTAAGGAAAGTGGTCCATGTGATTGAACACTACTATATATATATATATAGACTCTCTGTTTTACAAGTGCAGTGTATAAATATGAATAAGATAATGTAATTTAAGTGATCACCTCTATGGACTCTGTTTTACATGACTGTATGGATTGTTGTATATATGAATCAGACAGTGTAACATTCCACTAGGGTTATATTAGGGTTGTCAAATTAATCAATATTTAGTAACCAGTTTCTCCCCTGCCTTTTTTTTTATTAAGCACTTGGTCATTATTAAAAGGAAATTCAAGATTTAGACCTAACTGCATGTTTGTTCACGATCAAGTTCTTGTTCTTTTGATGGAATGCAATTTCAGAACCTTACACCTAAGTATGATAAAACTTTCAGTTAGGATTAAATGAAATTTTGGAATGATTTTCAATATCAAAATGATCAAACATAAATATATTTTCATGAATTTTGATACTCATGTCCTCACCCATTTACAGAGGCTTGTGAACCATAATTATAATTGTCAACTATGTGGTTTACAATATATCTTCAGAATGCGTGTCTGACAAATTCTTGCTAAAATACTGAATTTAGTATTCATACTTGGAACTTTTGATGAGTACTCAAATAACTGGTTACTTGTTGACAACTCTAGTTTATATAGACAGTGACATCTTTATAAATATTTTATCACAGAAAAATTAAATCAGGGTTGGTATACAATGCTAGAATTCTGTAAAATGTGCTTTTCTTTTTAATACCAGTTTACAACTATATTTCTTTTTTCATGGTTGGGAACAATTTTTCTTCCTAACATTCCACAAAATTTAAAATTATGTACAATAAAGCTCACTTGTTTTACTTGTTTTACCAGGTAATATTGAAACTATAAAGGTAATTTATCACACAATGTTTTAGCTCACCTGAGCCAAAGGTTCAAGTGAGCTTTTCTGTTCCAAATTTTTCTGCTGTCTGTCATCATAATTTTTTTTTTTTTTACAATTTCATCTTCTTCTCCAGAACCACTGATCCAATTTCAACCAAACTTACCACAGAGCATCCTTAGGTGAAGGGGATTCAAATGTGATTAAATGAAGGGCCATGCCCTTTTTCATGAGGAAGATAATTATTAATAAGAAATAGTGAAATGTAATTTTTTCAAAAATTTTCTTCTCAAGAGCCACTGGGCCAGAAAACACAAAGATTGTGTGAAAGCTTAATTGTATAGTGTAGATTCAAGATTGTTCAAATCATGACCCCTTGGGTAGGATGGGGCCACAACAAGGATTTAAAGTTTTACATTGGAATATATAGTAAAATCTTTAATAATTATCTTCTTCCCAAGAACAGCAAAGCCATTTTTAGTCATATTAATACAGAACATCCTCAGATAGATTAGATTCAATGTTTTTTTTCAAATCATGACCCCTGTGAGTAGGGTAGGGCCCCAAACAGGGGATAGTTTTACACAAGAATATAAAGGAAGTATCTTTTAAAATTTTCTTCTCAAGAACAGCTAAACCATTATTAATATAGAAGCATCCTCATGCAGGTAGTGATGATTCAAGTTCATTCAAAACATGACCCCTGGGGGTAGGATGAGGCCACAACAGGGTGTCAAAGTTTAACAAACGAATATATAAGAAAAAATGTTGTTAAAAAGTCTTCTTCTCAAGAACAGCCATGCCATGATTAGTCATGATTAGTCATATTGTGATAGTGTAATGTATAAAACATAAATGTCTCTGTTACATTTGGAACCCACATTGGAACCTGGGTATTCTCTGGCGGGTGAGTGCAATTACCCTAGAACTTCACCCCACAGGCGTCAGCACTTCAAAAGAGATGAGGACATCTCATTCTCTGGAGGGGGACAATTTAGTAGTGTAAGGTACATGACTTCCTACCAGCTTGGGCTAGTGAGTTAACCCTTTAGCTCAATTGGTAAAGCACTGGAGTGGCAAGCCAGAGGCCCTGGGTTATTTCCCAGCAGAGGCACATAAATGTCTCTGTTACAATATTAATAGAGAAGCATCTTCAGGTAGTGAAGATTTAAGTTAGATCAAATTATGACACCCCCCCCCCCCCCCCCCCCCCCCCCCGGGTAGGTTGGGGCCACATTAGGCAATCAGAAAAAAAACCCTTGGGAATAGGTTGGGGCTGCAATAGGTCAGAATTTTACAAGTGAGTATATATAAGAGGAAATCTTTACAAGAGTGACAGAAAATCATATTAAAATATGAAACATAACCAAGTTATGTGGAATAATCTTTTTCGTTTTAATTATGAGCCTTGAGGTTGGGCTGAAATCAGATCTAGAGATCCAAATTTGATATAATGCATGTGCACAGGAAAAAATTCTCCTGGACAACAAGACCATATTGATCGTATTGATATTAAAGCTTCCAAAAGTTGTGTGGATTCAACTTTGATTAAATCAAAGCTTTGCTTGGGCTAGATTTGGATGAAAAGTATGGGGTGGTTTTTTTTTAATTAATTAAGATTAAAAAAACAGCTGATGAAGAGCAGCAGGGTCAACAGACTCAGGTGAGCATTGTTACTCATGGACCTCTTGTAAAATTTTGTTCAATGAATTGTAGAGGTGGGCATGCAATATGTATAATGTATGTTATATATTGTAGCCTGCTATGAAAAATTAAGTCCATGATTTAAAAATGTATAGAGCATAAAGTGTAATAAATAATCATTTAACACTGATATTTACACTGTTAGTTTTATTTCTTAAATTTATTTGTATATGTTTTTGAAAGACTTCATCATTGTGGCATCAAGTTTGTACTTTTATAGATGTAAAGTGGAGGGAGTTTACAAGGAAAACAACTGTGGAAGGTAATTGTTGTAATTATCAGGACCCTGAATCAAGATGTGATTGCTCATCACCTGGTCTGTCCAGCAACACTTTTATGCAACTTGATTAACTGGGTATTTTTGGACTAGAGATTTCATACTCACCAATACATATAGGTGGGGGAGGGTTAGGAGAAGTTTATGGTCACTTGGTCAAATGTTAAAATAGTAACCATTTATAAGAGGCAATAACATGTTGTTGTTTTTTTTATCCTATAGACGTAATTCATTCTGGAAACAGTTAGAGGAATTGATTAAGACACCTATAGTTTTGGAGGTCAGTGGTCAAAGCTCAAGATAATTGATATGATCATTTTTATGCTATATGTGTAAACCTATAGGGTTTGAGACAATTATTTTAATCAGAAAATATACATATTAAACTATTTACAATGTACTTAAGATAGAGTGCATTGACCTATAATCCAATCGGGATATGAAAGTGTAAGACTTTTCCGTAAGAATAAACAAACCTGGTAATCGGATTAAGGACAATGTAAGCTACCAGGATATTTATCTATCTTGGGACAACGATGCAGGAACAGTAACGGAACATTGCTAAAAATTATCTTAACATTATTTTAACTTTTGCACAATACTAGAAAGTTGGACTGAAGCTTATTAAAATTTATGTTTCAATTACAATTTATTTTATAAAATTCCAGGATTTTGTACAAATTTATTGAATAACTTGTTTCCTTGAATCTGTTTGTCTATTTCATACGTAAATGAGTATTATTTATTGTACATTATAAAATACGATCTACGGCGCTCTTCAAGGGAACCACTATACGATCAGCTGTACGACTCACAACTTTCAGTAAATAAACTCTTTGCAAACATTTTGGTCTCATTGGCTTACATATGTTTGAAAAGAAAAGTGAACAATGTAAAGAGGTTTTAAAGTTTTTATTTGAAAGTCTAGGTTTAAATGGATCTGATGGATGCGCAGAGGTCTTAATTTTTCATGGGAATGAATATAAAAATCTTTTTTTCAAATCTAAAGAATAGCAGTACTAAAGTTACTCAGGTGAGCATTATGGCCCATGAGCCTCATGAATTAATGTATACATATATCAGGGTCTAAATCTCGAACCTTACTTCCCTAATCTTAGCTTACCAGGACAAAGTGGAAATGAGCTTATGCTACGTGCAATGCAGGTTAATGTTTTGGGAAAAGACGCTTGTTTTTAATTAATTAAGACAAAACCTGCAAAGATTAGTTACTACCAGTCTTGCTTCATATGCTGCATCTCTCCAATACTTTCTACAACATGGCCGTAGGAACCGAGGGGGGAGGGGGGCACAGTTATACATTTTCAGTTGGGGGCACTATCAACTACCAAAAATTTCTTGACAAGCCAAAAAAAAGGTCATCAGACGTTTTTATTGAGGGAGCACAAGCATATAGTAGGTATGTTTTCTATAGTAATCTATATAACGGCAAACTTACTGGGTTCCTACGGCCATGGCACTTTTAAACTGTAAAGGCCGCTATCACGGAAAAAAATTAACTGACGTTTTTTTTTTTACCGCTTCAAAATTAAACCTTATAATTAATTCAAATAAAGACAATCTTTTTCTATGAAAAAATTTTATTTGACATTCACCCGTCATATAAACACTATGAAAAAAAAAAGACGTGAATCGTGAATTTCAACTGCCTTTATATTACTGACATTGTTGATACACTGTGTAATTCTCAGTTATGACAAAGCTCCACCCATTAATTTATTAACCCTGTCTACTGGGACCGTTGTGGGACTGCTCTGGGACCACTATGTGACTGCTCTGAGACTGCTATCTGTCAGGTTGGGTCTGGTTGGTACTGTAGATGAGTGACAAATGAACAACTCCCATGCTCATACCCCTTTAACCATCCAATTACTGAGGCCAACTTTGAAAGAACGTTTGCTTGCCCTCTCCCGACTGAGGATGAGAAAAGTGAGTCGGAAGGTAGGCGAATTTTTTTTTTTCGAAGGGAATTTCAGAATCAATGCTGAATTTTTAACATTTATTTTCAGGAATGCATTAAAAAATAATTGCTTCTTGGAGGTAAAAAAAAAAAGTTTTGAGTCGGGCCATTTTTAGCCAGTCGGTCGGGAGAGGGCAACCAAACAATTTTCTAAAGATGGCCTGAATGAAATAAATGTTTTTTATGCTCCGCCATGAATCATGTGAATATGGCCGGGCATATAGAGTTTTTCGTGTCCGTCTTTCCATCCTTTCATCTTTGTCCTTCATCCTTCTGTCTTTCTGCCTGTCCTTCCATCGCGCCTTGCGTTTAGCATAGCTCAAAGCTCAGTTTCAAAGAAACTATTCAAAATATTTTAATCAAACTTCATAAGCTGATACATATTGATGAGAGCTATTCAACTGCAACAACATTTTTTGAACTTGACCTTTCTTTTGACCTTGACCTCACTTATATTAATTTAGTGTTTAGCTTTCAGTTTTAAAGAAACCATTCAGGATAGTATTATCAAACTTCATATACTAATGCATACTGGAGTAAGCTATTCAAATGCATCAACATTTTTTTTTACCTTGACCTTTCGATTGAACTTGACCTTACTTTTCTTAAATTAGTGCTCAGTTTTGAATAAATACGTCCGGTCTGTCGGGTGTACTGTACACCCGACAGACCGGACGTATTTCATAGCGGTACGGATTTCTTTCTTTACAACTGGTTATAAACTTCAAATTAAACATGTAACATTGTAAATACATCGTGTTTGGTAGTTTAGTAGTAGTGCTAGTTGTTTTTTTTTGTTTTTTTTGTTTCCTTTGTTTTTATGATTTTTTAACCTTTTTCTTTGTCCTGAGGAAGGGACAGGGCGTTTCGAAAATTTGACAATTTTTATTGTTCGTGTCGTTGGTCATTTTTAGTGCTTTATATAAATTTCCATCCGTGACCTTGTATCTACTTAGTAGATTTGACACTTAGGATATACAGTGCTGTTGGTTTTTTAGTGCTTTCTCTCTCTCTCTCTCTCTCTCTCTCTCTCTCTCTCTCTCTCTCTCTCTCTCTCTCTCTCTCTCTCTCTCTCTCTATATATATATATATATATATATATATATATATATATATATATATATCCAAAACTTTTGACCTTGAACTTTCTTGTGACCTTGACCTCACTTTTCCTAAAACTTTGCTTAAAAGTATGAAGGTAAAATAAAACATCAATTTCAAATTTATATTATCTAAGTGAAGTAATTTTTTAATTGTATTAAAAATGCTAAAATCATATTATGATAAAACAGAAAAACGGAAATTACCTCAGCAAATTTACAGTTCTGTCCCTTTTCTATTGTAATCATGCGAAAATTTTGTTTCCATTCGGCCCGCTTTTTCCTGAGTACAGTATTTTACAATATGCCTAGTTATTTTTCTTTATATATTGCCGGTTGCCCTACCACCACCACCCCACCCCCATTGTTGTTGTAAGGTCGAGTTTTTTTTTCTTTTTTTCGCTTGGAAGATTATTTTCGGAAGTTGGCGGCCCTTTCACTTTTTGGTCAGTTTATGTTTCTCTCTCTTTTTAAGGGAGATGAGGGGAAGGTTCCCCCCCCCCGGGACGTACATGTAGCATCCTTTTGAATTTTGAAAGTTGGGTGGGGTCGGGAAGCCAGAGGAAAAAAAAGGAAAATTGTCCCGGGGGGGGGGGGGGGGGTAGGTTCCAACTTCTTTCAGAATTAAATTTTATTCATACACCACTGAATTACCCTTATTTGACTTTTATTCAGCAAAAAGAGGGGGGATCGATTCAACCAGCCTTTCAAAGAACATTTTCAATAGTAAAAGGTTATGTTTGGAAAAAAGGGCAGATGCTACGTGCCTGCCTCCCCCCTCCCCCCCCCTTTGAAACCATTGCTAAGGGCCTGTTTCATTCAGTAGATTTTCTTATTATAATTTTTACTTCAAATGTTTTGTACATGTTAGATCGAGTTCATTTATTACAAAATAATTCTGTTAGTTTGATGTTGGGCCTAGATGATGGACTATGCATGAATTTCTGTCTGCGTGAATTTTGCAAAATTATTTCCATATTAAACATCGATCTTATTGCCCCATCCTATTTTGATTTCCTTTACTTGAAATAAAAAAATATGCCCATTACCCAGGGATAGTCTGGTCCACGTTTTGTTTAAATTGGTCCAGTGGTTTTGGGGGAAAAGTCGAAAAATAAAAAAAAAATTCAGACATGGTCAACATCATTCATGAACATACTGGAGACGGTTCAGGTGCGCTAAAAGATTTGTGCTAAATCGATAATGTTATATAAAAATATTTTACTATTCAAATCATCATCTAACAGTAGACGTATATGATATAATTATGTGATTTTTATATTATTAATGTCGGGATCAAACTTCAACTACTATTTTTAGCATTTCCGTACTGCCTCGTTTTGACCTCCGGTTGTAGGGTTGTAAACAGACAAAGTATTTATTTCAGGACAGGTATGTGCATTGATTGTTTTTAATCGAATTCCTGAAAAATGTTGTTGAAATGATAGTCTTAAACTGGACTATACCCTCGATACATTGAACGTGCACAGAAATATTAAAGAATTCGATTAATTATGTTAACTGTTCCGAAAGCTGTATCATAGTGTATGGTTACATACTTGTAGGCCTGTGGTTATGATTGAATAGGCTTAGAGTTAGTACCCTCATCATTTTTCTTTTTCTTTTTTTTTTTAAGTAAAGTTATGATTGATGATTATTTTGTTTGTAAATACACTGCAGTGTATGACAGTATGTTTATAGAACTATCTAGAGAAAATATTTGTACGCGTAAGAGCTGTCAGAAAATTGACTTTGAACATCCAGGGGCGTAGCTTGACTTTAAATTCTAGTGAGGCAAAACCATACACAGCCGGGTACGTGGTGTCATGGGAGGGGTAGGGAGGCACTCCGACAGGAAATGGAGTTGAGGGTTTTAAATGCAATGATATTTCATTTGCTGTACTGGTTTCTTTATTTAAGACTTCAGCATGATAGGGTAGACTGGGGTAATTTCGACTACTTTTGCTGATTTGTGGCTTTCAATCCACAAAACACGACTGTTTTCCAATGTACTAGTTTAAAACTGATTCAAAGTAATTGAGAATGATTTTTTCTTCATATTTTTTGCTTTAGGAGTTAAAAAATGCATAAAAAATAATGAATTGGTTTAGAAATAAGTAAGCATGTTGCATGGGTTAATTTCGACCGACCTTGGGGTAATTTCGACCACAACAAACATCAGAAAGAAAGATAACTCTTGCAATGCATGTAAACTTTACCTGTCGCATTTTATTCAAAATTTATGGTCCGAGAGACTGTATTGCCTTATTTAGAAAATACATGTATCTATCTCTCTCAGTAAAAAGATTAAAATGGATAAGTACTAGTATCCATACAGTAAAGAAATGGGTTGGGTTACTTAAGCTTTTCAATGTTGTCTTATAGACATCTTAATTCTTATTCCGATTCTAAATTCTGCTTTTAATTCGCTAACTCTATATTTTGAAATTGTGTAATAAAGTTGTGCAAATAGATAAAATTTTCTCAGATTCCACAAATAATTTCTTTGTTGTGATTTTTAAATTGTTTAACCCAAAAGGGATTTTATTTAATATCGTCTTTCACAACAGAATCATTCAAATTGTATATATATATGTATAAGGTTTGAGTATAGCATTAGAATTGCGTATATTTTTCTTCACTAATTTTTACCATATACACATTCATTTGGAATGCGTTGTTTTACGTATTTTACGTGTTTTTTTTTAATTCTTAAAAGAGATATAACCTGAGAAATTCGATCAAGTCAATTAAATACATCGTCCGAAACCCACGGTCGGTCGAGACCGACCTTGGGTTTCCGACGATGATTAATAAAGATTTACAGAAGCAAAGCCTCTGACCCCCACCCCCCCCCAAAAAAAAACAAACAAACTCAAACAAATCATTTATTTCGTGTAACATCACAGTGTTGTTTTTGTGTGTGTGTTTCAAGATTGTTGCGGCTTTTTTGGTGTGTTGTTCTGATATTTTGAGTACTATTTGGATTTGTGTACCTGGATTGTGTGATACGATCTTAATACGACTGATTCGTTGGTTTTCGATAGCCTCAGTTTTGTCCGTCAAACACATTCGTAATAATGAAAAAAAATTACAAAACCTGATTTTTTTTTTTTTTTTTTACATATATTCAATATTGCCTGCATCCTCTCTTTTGTTAATTTGACGGGTTTGGAATCTTATGGATTGCTCTCACCATGTGTTGTTTCAAAGCTAGTGCCGACTACGTGTTCTCTCGCATGTCGATCAGTGATGCACCTCGTGAACGGCACGGACAATATATATAGCTAGGCATCCATATCTTGATTAATCTGACATTTTTTTTTTAAATATAAAAGGTTATATATAGTTAATATTGTAAATATACAGTATAATTTTTTTTTTGAAGATCTAACTCTGCATTGCATTAAACAGCTGTTAAAGACAACTTACACATATTTCAGAATAAGTGGTCGAATTTACCCCGCGTCCTTAAAATCAGTAGGGGTAATTTCGACCAAAATCATATGGACGTTTCTTGTGCATTTTGAGAAAAATCCAATATAAATTTGGAAAATTCTGCAACTTAAAGATATTCCAAGAAAAAATAAAATAATTTTAATTTAATTCGTGCTGTACACTGTTGAACAAGGTCAAACTTAATCAAAGTACTGAAAGTACTGGGAAGCGCTAAGCAATGTTTGAAATTCATCAGAATTATTTTGAATTTAATTAAATTGCCTGTTGTATTGGAAGAAGTATTATGTTGACAGTGCGGCCGCGCTGGGGCGAGCACAGTTCTTCGATACGTACATATTCACTTTAAAATAAAACTTATATCCGCCTTTTCAAACCGCAAGGGGAAACATTTGAAGGTTCGAGATTCTCCGTTTCTTAAAAAAAAAACAATATATAAAAATTAAATAACAGATGTTTAGTCCAAACAGTAAGGTATTTCTCAAACCTAATAAAAAAAAGAAAGAAACGAAAAAAAAAAGAACATGTAAAATTATTTTCGTTCTCCATCACCTTATAGGAGACTATAAGAGGTAGGTTTGCTTTTTTTGTTTGTTTGTTTGTATGTTGTTTAACGTCCCTCTCGAGAATTTTTCACTCATATGGAGACGCCACCACTTGCCAGTGGAGAGCTGCAAATTTTGTCCTATACTCAGCTCTTACGACCATTGAGCAGTGAGGGATCTTTTTCGTGCCAGCACCTACTGCGACACGGGATCTCGGTTTATAAGGTCTCATCCGAAGAACCGGTCTCCACGTCCCACAGTGGGATTCGAACCTGCGACGTAAGGATCAACTCCTTACTCTGCGACTCTAGAGCAGACGCTCTAACCACTGCGCCACGCGGGCGACGAGGTAGGTATGCGTATAAATCGCAATTCATTGGAAGGGGGGGGGGTGACTATATATGTAGCTATACATTTGCTGGAAAATGTATATTTTTTATATAATTTTGAACACTTGAAAATGTCGCTGATATTCCTCTCATTAATGTGCAACACTGATAGCTAAAATGTTCTGGTGATAATTTTTAATAATTCATTCCGTGTTTACGAGTGTTTCAAATTGAAGATTGGCTGTTTGTAATGTGAATTAATTTTAGAAAGTGCTCCTAAAAAATAAAAATGTTATTTTTTATTGCGTCGATAAAATATTTCCTTATTGATAACATGTTTATTAAAGTTATGAATTAAAGATCTCAAAAATATCGAATACTAGTATTCTCACTTAATTGTTTTAGTATACCTCTTTTTTTTCATATTCATGAGCGATTTTTAAACTTACGAATATATAGAAAGGATTTTGCAAGAAATACATTAATGGAGTATGTAAGATATTTACACAATCGCTACGAGCGTCCGGTATTTATTAATGATAAATAAAACTTAGACTATATATTTCATTTTGTTTTGAATATACTACAGCTGTGCATTATACATTTTTAACACTTCACATTCATCGCGCTGTGCAGCATATCGGCATCGTCATGTGAAAAAAATCTATTCAATGAGCACCCGTAGAGTTTACGTCATTTTGTCAGAGATGATTGGTAAATATACATTTTGATTATAAGGATATTATATTTGTCTTCTTCGTTTGATGATAACACATTCAGAGCTATCCTTTACATCTGATTTTCATTTACATGTACATGATTTATGTATTTGCATCAAAAATAAGTCTTTTCCGTTGATCTACAATATATTTATCTGATTTGTAAATTTTACTTTTTTAAAATAAAAAAAATTATTCTTTTCTTCTTCGGAATGAAAATATGTCATTAAAACCCCAGAAGTAATTTAATTTTGGACTCTTGTTGAAATACTTAAAATGCTTCAGTATTTTTTTTTTACGGATATTTGATACTTTACACCAATCTTTACTTGTTTATGTATGAAATTAACTACCACGCAAAACATGTTGAGAGGGAAAAATATCCACAGCACTGGTGTGTTAGATAAAAAAGAATACTAGTACTGAAAATAATTGACCCGTAATTTTCTGCTATTTCCATGATAAATAATTCAACAGCCCAAGAAAAAAAGACATTATATTAATCTCAAGTATGAATAAATCTTTATGAAGGTATGCAACATTGTTTTATTCTGTTTATATGTAGTCCTCATTAAGTCGCTTAGCAGTCAATTCGGCAACACACGCACATCTTTACCTAAACTATTTCTTTCTAGGTTCCTAACACAAGTATGCTTAACATTTCATCAGCACTATTCCTGTCCATTGCTAAGAGCGTTTAATTAAGGTTTTTGCATTTTTCCGCCAGATCTTGCGCACTGCACACACACAATTTTAAAACACAATATCTGTCATCAATATTTCCGAGAAATTAGTTTTCCTATCTAAGTGGATTCGTTGAAAACACAGCCACCACGTTCCCTACATGTACGTACAGCCGCAAACTGCCTTTCTTTGCGAATTATTTACATCATATTTTTTACCCATATTACAAGTATAGAATACAACACAAGTAAAAACAGTTCATGAATGCATTCCAGTCTGTTACTAATTGATACCGAGATGCGAAAATCAACTTCATTGATAGCTCTCTGCATGGTGCAAGGGTGATAATAGGAAGACTTGTTTTTAGTTACATTGTCTGAAATAAGGATCTAGAAGAAATAGTAGTTAATATGGATATAAATTATACAGAACGTACATATGTAGGTACATTGTAAATCAATTTTATGCGAAATTTTCTACTATATAACTTAATTCCAGTTTGAGTTTTAAATACTTATTAAAATCCCATTTGAGTTTTAAAAATATGTACTTATTCAATCTTTACATTATATGTACATGACATATAATTAACCGTTTTAGGTATTTGCGCCATAGATGCAGCAGTTGTTAGCTACATGGTACTCAAGATTTTAAATGAA